TTACAAATCTTCCTCAACCTGTAAATTCCAACAAAGTTACAATTATTAGTAATAATAATGGTAATTATCTAATTTATATATTTAATCTTATTATTTATTATTAATGATATTTTAAATTATTTAGAATCTCAACAAATTGAATTAACTATGCCAGATTCTAAACAAATTGAATTAACTATACCAGATAATTTATGAATAAATTTTATATATCTGATTATTGAAATTTTCACATTAGTTTTTTTATTATTATCAATAAAAATTTTTTAATGATTATCTATCTATTTTAATTAAAGCAAACCTTCCTTGTAATTTAACCTGATTGAAGTGACCTATCATAGTGGTTGTATCTGTTGATTATCTGGGTGTTTAAATACTTGGTCAATCAATAAAGCTCAACACCTGGATAATCAGTCAATAAAATTAACATCCTGTGAAAATTTTCAACACCCAATTAACTGGATAATCAGTGAATATCATTTGGTGGATACAGCCACTAACCTATCACCATGTCTCTTATCATCATTTAGTATTATTTATTTATTATTTATTAGTATTTTATATTTAATATTTATATATACTGTTTTAACATCAATCTATAAACACTAATAAAAATGATCATTGAGATAAAAATCTGTGTCTCACGGTAAATCTCAATATTTATTTATAATAATATGCCAACAATGTTAATACAATTTCTTCCAATTTATTTATAACAACAATTTCTGTGAACACATATTTATGCCTTACTCTCAAAACTATCTTTCACTATCATTAAACAACTCCTTACACTAAGAAATACTAAATAATATCTTTAGATATCCTGATTGTGTTTTTTGATGGGTGCCCTTCTAGCTGTTAGTCTCTTTACTACCAAGTCAGGTACATATCCAAAACTACTAAATAAAATTCATTAAATATTACCTCACTAAAACAAAAGAAAATAATAAAAATAATAGACAAATATAAATTTATTATGCTTGAGATTAGTGTGAATTTCATTGTTGCAGATAGATTTATTATTATTACAAAAGTATAAATTTGAAGGCTATAACAAGGGACAGGGGCAAGGTTGAGGACAATGTTATTTATTAAATTATTATTATGATTATTTATGATGATGAATATGATACATGAAGTTGAGAAAGTTACAATGTTATTATACACTCACCTGCCAAAAGTATCCGGACAAAATGTAAATTTCCGTGACATTTCTGGGTGTTTTACACAAAAATACTCGAAAACTAGCGAGAAAACGTGGCTTTTTGTC